ACCGCGCGTCAGTCAATGTCAATGCAACAGTCCTATTTAGTACTACGTCAGCCCTCGGACGATCATGCTCATCCTACTTATAGATCTACTTAAGAAAATAGGAGGGAAAAAAGGAAAACTCCTCAGGTTTTACACCGAGTTACGGACTTGAGCTGGAACCGAACAGGGCCAGGGGCCTGGGGGCTATCCCTATTATATATGAACCATTATAGTTTTTTGAAAACCCACAAGCTTAAAATAGTTGTAACTTTCTAAGTGTTTTGGTGGTCAGTTGCTAAACACTTGTATTCCGCTACCCAGAGATGTTAACCCTTAGAAATAAGTTCACTTTCCCAAATTTGAGTTTTCTGAACTGATGTTTCCGCTGGCCCGGTTTGTAGTTTGTTGACAACAGATTGATTTTTTCAGTGGAAGGTAGATGAACGTACAATGAGTAGACAGACAATTTTTATTATGTAAACACCAATAAAAAACCAAATGAGCTTTCGCGCAAAAACTTGATATCTTCACATGTGATAATAACATGTTATCTTCACATGTGAAAATGTCATCGTTGCTATAGCTTCATAATAAACCGCACTTTTGAGACCAAAAAACTATTTATAAGTAAAATGGCTGGTATTTCATTGGTGTTTATATAATAAATAGAATATAACATGGTCGCTTGGAGATACGAAATTTCTCTTCTCTTTCAACATTCGAAGAGAATTTTCCCATCTCCGCGCGGCCATATAATATCCTCTTTATATACATCATGTTTAAACAATGGTAAATCTGTTTCTTTGTTGTTGTTTTTGTTTTTGTTTTTAATTTCGATCATTATCACCAAAAGAATGTTAATAACATAAACATAACATAACATAATCTTTATTTAACGTGGGAGAAACACTTAGCTAAAGCTGTTTTGTAGGTTTTCCACAAATCAATATTAAGAAAGAAAGAAAAAAAAATATGTACATAGAAATGTAAAAATATATATATATATATATAAATTTTTTTAGAGACGACCCCAGTCCATCAAGTCATATTATACAACGATGAAAAACACGTAGAAGGATCCCTTTTTGAGGTAAATCAAATGCGACTGTGATAGGCAAAAACGAATTATACTGAAGGAGCTAATAAATAAGCTTTTACTCCAGCTTTTAATTTTGCTTTTCAGACCCTTTTCGTTATCGTACATAAAGAGAAACGGTATCAGCAGAAAAAAGAAACCACAATATGTGGCTGAGCTGAAATAGCAAAGCCAGCAAAAGAAAAAATATGACAAACGCAGCTATTAGTGGTAATATTGGCGACCCCTTTGTCAACCTTGAAGATTTACAGAACGCATTAGGCTTCGCCTATTACAGTCTGGGAGATTTCCGGAAAGCCATAAAGTACCTTGAACGATACCTCAAAATTTTGAAAGAAGTGGGAGACAGGGCAGGAGAAGGAAAAGCGTACGGTAATCTTGGCAACGCCTATCACAGTCTTGGAGATTTCCAGAAAGCCATAGAATACTATGAACTACGCCTCAAAATTTCGAAAGAGGTGGGAGACAAGGCAGAAGAAGGAAGAGCGTACTGTAATCTTGGCAACGCCTATTACAATCTTGGAGATTTCCAGAAAGCCATAGAATACTATGAACTACGCCTCAAAATTTCGAAAGAAGTGGGAGACAGGGCAGGAGAAGGAAAAGCGTACGGTGATCTTGGCGACGCCTATAGAAATCTTGGAGATTTCCAGAAAGCCATAGAGTACCAGGAAGGACATCTCAAAATTTTGAAAGAAGTGGGAGACAGGGCAGGAGAAGGAAGGGCCTACGGTAATGTTGGCGTCGCCTTTAAAAATCTCGGAGATTTCCAGAAAGCCATAGAGTACCATGAACAACACCTCAACATTTCGAAAGAAGTGGGAGACAAATCAGAAGAAGGAAAAGCGTACGGTAATCTTGGCGTCGCCTTTAAGAATCTCGGAGATTTCCAGAAAGCCATAGAGTACCATGAACGATACCTCAAAATTTCGAAAGAATTAGGAGATAGGGCAGGAGAAGGAAGAGCGTACGGTAATCTTGGCGACGCCTTTACAAATCTCGGAGATTTCCGGAAAGCCATAGAATATCATGAACGACACCTCAAAATTTCGAAAGAAGTGGGGGACAGGGCAGGAGAAGGAGGCGCGTACGGTAATCTTGGCATCGCCTTTACAAATCTCGGAGATTTCCAGAAAGCCATAGAGTACCATGAACGACACCTCAAAATTTCGAAAGAAGTGTGGGACAGGGCAGGAGAAGGAGACGCGTACGGTAATCTTGGCATCGCCTTTACGAATCTCGGAGATTTCCAGAAAGCCATAGAGTACCATGAACGAGACCTCAAAATTACGAAAAAATTGGGGGACAGGACAGGAGAAGGAGGCGCGTACGGTAATCTTGGCAACGCCTATCACAGTCTTGGAGAGTTCCAGATAGCCATAGAGTACCATGAACGACACCTCAAAATTTGGAAAGAAGTGGGAAACAGGGCACGAGAAGGAAAAGCGTACTCTAATCTTGGCAACGCCTATCACAGCCTTGGAGATTTCCAGAAAGCCATAGAGTACCATGAACGACACCTCAAAATTTCGAAAGAAGTGGGAGCCAAATCAGGAGAAGGAAAAGCGTACTCCCATCTTGGCAGCGCCTATTACAAACTTGGATATTTCCAGAAAGCCATGGAGTACCATGAACGACACCTCAAAATTTCGAAAGAATTGGGAGACAGGGCAGGAGAAGGAGGCGCGTACGGTAATCTTGGCAACGCTTATCACAGTCTTGGAGATCTCCAGAAAGCCATAGAGTACCATGAACGACACCTCAAAATTTCGAAAGAAGTGGGAGACAGGGCAGGAGAAGGAATCGCGTACGGTAATCTTGGCAACGTCTATAGAAATCTTGGAGATTTCCAGAAAGCCATAGAGTACAATGAACGACACCTCAAAATTTCGAAAGAAGTGGGAGACAGGGCAGGAGAAGGAAGCGCGTGCGGTAATCTTGGCAACGCCTATGACAGTCTTGGAGATTTCCAGAAAGCCATAGAGTACCATGAACGAGAGCTCCAAATTTGGACAAAAGTCGGAAACAAATCAGGAGAAGGAGACGCGTACTCTCATCTTGCCAGCGCCTATTTTGGTCTTGGAGATTTCCAGAAAGCCATAGAGTACCATGGACGACACCTCAAAATTTCGACAGAAGTGGGAGACAGAGCAGGAGAAGGAAGCGCGTACGGTAATCTTGGCATCGCCTATCACAGTCTTGGAGATTTCCAGAAAGCCATAGAGTACCATGAACGACAGCTGAAAATTTCCAAAGAAGTGGGAGACAAATCAGGAGAAGGAAGCGCGTACGGTAATCTTGGCATCGCCTATCGCAATCTCGGACTTTTCCAGAAAGCCGTAGAGTACCATAAACGACAGCTCAGAATTATGAAAGAAGTGGAAGACAGGGTAGGAAAAGGAAGAGCGTACGGTAATCTTGGCAACGCCTTTATGATTCTAGGAGATTTTCAGAAAGCCATAGAGTACCATGAACGACACCTCAATATTACGAAAGAAGTGGGAGACAGGGCAGGAGAAGGAAAAGCGTACTGTAATCTTGGCAACGCCTATTACAGTCTTGGAGATTTCCAGAAAGCCATAGAGTACCATAAACGACACCTCAAAATTTCGAAAGAAGTGGGGGACAGGGCAGGAGAAGGAAGCGCGTACGGTAATCTTGGCAACACCTATAGAAAACTTGGAGATTTCCAGAAAGCCATAGAGTACCAGGAAGGACACCTCAAAATTTTGAAAGAAGTGGGAGACAGGGCAGGAGAAGGAAGGGCGTACGGTAATCTTGGCATCGCCTATCACAGTCTTGGAGAGTTCCAGAAAGCTGTTCAGTATTATAAGAACAGTGTGATAGCCTTTGAGCACATTAGGGGAAATCTCATATCTGAAGACGAATGGAAGATTGGCCTTAAAAGTACGTATGATCAATCTAATTTGAGGCTGTGGGAGCTGCAGCTTAATTTAGGTAAAGTCATCGAGGCACTTTTAACTGCTGATCAAGGACGTGCACAAGCTTTGAACGATCTTCTGGAGTTCAAGTATGGTCTTAAAGGGTTACGCCCTGAAATAGGAACACTTTGTACAAGACCAAGTGACTTTGCTAGTTACTTACCACCAAATACAGTTTTCATGGGTATCAGCGAGGGAGGAATAGTTCTTTGGGTGAACGAGAAAGAAAAAGAAATCAAAACTAGAAGAACTGAGATCGATATCCCCGTCACAACCTATTTTCAGTCTTTGCTGGAAACTACACATAAAGAAATAGGTGTGAGAGCTGATGTTAACTGTGAAGATCGCTCATTAAGTAACCCAAGCGATAAAAAGTTAGCAGGAGAAAAATCCAGTGAGCCAAAGTCTCGTCCTCCATATTTACAGACAAAGTCTTTACAAATATTGTACAATGTTGTTATAGACCCTATAAGAGACTTACTCCAGGGTGATGAGGTTGTGATTGTTCCACAAGGACCTCTGTGTTTGGCTCCTTATGCTGCTTTCATGGACTTGAAATCAAAGTACCTCTGCGAAACGTTTAGAATTCGTCTGCTTCCCTCACTTTCTAGTCTTCGATTAATCCAAAATTGTCCAGCAGATTGGCACAGTAAGACCGGCGCCCTTCTTGTCGGCGATCCGTGGGTACAGGAGGTAGTTTATGAAGGAATGAGGCTGGGGCAGTTAGAGTGGGCCGAAAAGGAAGTGCAGATGATTGGGGAAATAATTCAAACTAAACCTCTCGTTGGAAAGCAGGCAACAAAAGATGAAGTCTTAACACGTTTCTCCTCGGTTGCTTTGGTGCACATTGCTGCTCACGGTAAAATGGAAACAGGAGAAATTGCCTTGACCCCTAACATAACACGTTTATCCTTGAATCCAGCCAGAGAGGACTATCTCTTAACTATGCAAGATGTTTTAAAGGCGCAGATTAGGGCAAGACTTGTTGTACTCAGTTGCTGTCACAGTGCGCGGGGAGAAGTCAAGTCTGAGGGTGTGGTCGGCATTGCAAGGGCATTTTTGGGTGCTGGTGCTCGCTCTGTTCTGGTGTCGCTGTGGGCGATCGACGACGAAGCTACTATGGAGTTCATGAAAGTTTTCTACCAACAACTAGTCCATGGACGAAGTGCCAGTGAGGCCTTGAATAAAGCCATGAAATCCATGAGAGAATCTGAGCGCTTTAGTGCAGTGAAGTACTGGGCGCCGTTTGTTCTCATTGGTGATGACGTAACGCTTGAGTTTGAAGGCAAGGTATTTTGAGACATATTTAAACCTGGGATCATAATTCCTGTTTTTTGCAAACGTCATTTTAACTACCAATTACTGTTGTCGCTTCACTAGGCAACGAAATCAGCCCGTGCCAATTAATTAGAATCAATCTGCTAGTCACTAGTCAAGTTCACCAGAACAACGACGGAGTCTGACTTTGGTAGTTTGTTTGGCTGTTAAATAACACTACAAAATTTATTTCAGGTCTCATGGATTGATTTTATTTCTTTTCAATGTGTCGGTGGCCCCGTTTGAGTTCGTTCCATTGACACTTACAGTCGAACCTGACGTAAGCGACGACCTAAAATGCCAAGATCAGATTTCCGGTCGCTTGTTTTACGGAAGGTGGTCGCTTAGGAAAGTCTCCAGATATGCACGGCAGGTTAATTCTCTATTAAGCCTTCCGGGAATTTATTTATTTCAAGGACGTTTGAAAGAGAACCTTATTTTATTAAACGAAGATTGTGGTATAAATAAAATATGTTCATAAAGAACTAGAACGCTAAGTGGAAAAGTTCAGGCACATGAAGTTGGAGATCATGAAGCCGAAGATCAAAATCAAACCCGAACTTCAAGCTCACGAATAAACCATACAGGCTGATCAGTCCTTATGAAGTGTTACAGTCGTGATAAATCAATACATACATGATACGTCTATTATTAAAANTTCAGGCACATGAAGTTGGAGATCATGAAGCCGAAGATCAAAATCAAACCCGAACTTCAAGCTCATGAATAAACCATACAGGCTGATCAGTCCTTATGAAGTGTTACAGTCGTGATAAATCAATACATACATGATACGTCTATTATTAAAATATAAGAATTGGCAGAAGGGGCTTGAAAGAGAGAGGGGGTTTAATAGCTTTCTTTCCCTAAAAGGGGGAGGTTATTATAGAGGGGGGGGGGCTTAATAGAGGATTTTTGGTATGCAAGATTCTTTAAATCTACAATAAGTCTAATCATTGGTTGAAGTTACCAGTTTAAATGTGACCCTTTGCTCTAATAGATTTAGCGCGTGTTCGATTCACCGTATTCCGCGTCTCAAATAAAAATAACTGGAATAAACTCCCTAGAAATCACTTGTTTTGCCTTTCATTGTATTGCAATATCTAAAAAATTGCTTGAAATAGAGTATTCTGAACTATGAAAGCTTTAAATGGTTCAAATATTATGGTATGGAAGAGGTCTGTAACAAAACTTTGCGTATTCTTATTCTGGAATATGATCAATCGAGCGCACTCTTAGAAGTCAGTTGTCAAAATGATATGCCTCGCTTGTTGAAATCACTATCCTTTTCTTCTGCTAGCTTGCTAACATTGCTTTTTCTGTTTTTTGTTGTTGTCGTTGCTGTTGTTGTATAGGTGTGAGGAAGAATGCAGTGAAGCAGTTCCTAACCATATGAAGTTGATGTCATTTTCTGATTTGTCACGATCACGAGGCGGAGCGTTTCTAGCAAGATTTGGAACTCTTTATCGCGAAAAGAAAATTATATGCTGTTAATAAATAAGTTGGAGCCTTTCGTAGACTGGAAATTACAGTGCACGCGTTTCGTAGCTTATTTTGTGACAGTTGTTTCCACATGCAACTTGTTTTATAGTCACCTGAAATATATCAGGAATCAGTAGTCAGTTTCGGCTATTTTCATTGTTATACGATATGTGACAGAAGCATTTTTGAACGTGTTAATTTAATTTAGTAAAATCCAACTAGTGGTCTATTATCAATGCTGCGTTCTGATTGGTGGAGCTACTACTAGACTCTATGTTATAGCCCACTAGAAGCGAAAAGCGCGGGCTTTTTGGCGGCAAAAAAAGATTAAAGTCTAGCTTTAACTAGCTAAAATTTTTTTATTCTATTGACTCAGAGCCCATTCGGGCTCAAGGAATAATTGTTAATAGAATAGTTAATACAGTTAGTATAGTTTTTTTCATTGCTTTTTAATATAGTTTTTTTACGGTTTTATCGCATCATTGACACAACTGTATTTACTAATTGTTTTTGCAGATCGGTTGAAGTTTATTAGTGTTTAGAAAGGTCTCCAATCTTATACTGAAGTCAAATTCCCAGTTCAGTTAGTAGGTTAAATCACTAAAATGTAGTTTTACATTTACTCGTCCTTTTGATATGCGTAAGGATTGCTATTTCATAGCCGAGGCGTACTCGCGTACGTTGTTTTTACAATCTGATTTCTCTAGTCGACCCTTTAATTTTTATCTGAAAGTTTCAGTGAGGCCTTTTACTGTAACCCCTTTTCATGTCACACAGTTCATTTGTTTGCTTTCGTATAAATACAAGTACACTCAACTCTCTCGTAAGCGACCAGTCTTGGTGCACGACAAAGTGGTCGCTTACGGGAGGTGGTCGTCTACGGGAAAAATCAAGAAAAAAAACCTCAAACTGAACCGATAAACGTAATAAATAAAGTTATTATCTTACAAGTAAAAATGTGGCAAATAGAGAACTGCTAATAATGTTTAACTCGAATAGCGGTTGGAACTGATGAAACTTTGTACGTAACATTATGCATGAATGCGACAATCCACTTTTTTACCTACAGATCGCATTACAGACATCTTTTTTGTAAGTCAACTGCTATAATCTGTCAGCTAACTTGGTCAGCACTATTCAAAAATGAACTTTTGTGACATTCGAGCAACGGTTTTGTTACAAACATACGTGATCATGCCCGGTGGTGGCTTACCGGAAACAAAAATATGTCAAATTTCTGACCCAAAAAGTGGTCGCGGTCGTTTAAGAAATTTATGTAGTGGTCGCTTACGAAAGGGTTTTTGAAACAGTGTTTGACTGAGAAATACTACATAATTCAGTTTCCCCATGTTTGTTACAAAATAAAAATGAAGTTTAGAGTGCAAACAGAATTTCTGTCAATATCATATACCCCGAAGGGACAGGTAAATAACTTGCTTGTATTTCAATTGTGAGGTTTCCTAAAGCAAAAAGCTCTTAAGGTAATTCCCTTGTTTTCGGCACTGCGCATCACTCAGCACATAATGTTGCGACCTCAAAGGTGGCGTTGATTTTCACTGGTCGGCTAAAAAGAAGTAGCTATGGCTCTTTTTGCAGTCCAAATGCTTTAAATAGCAATTTTGATTATTCTACCTAGTTAAAGAGGTGTCTGTGTTGAAACTCGCCCCAGTCCTCTCGCGCAAAATGATCGTTTGAAGCCGAAATAATCCCTTTGTTGTCGTTTTGCTATGAAACGGGACAGGTGACCCCCTTTCTATTTGTGTTTTGTACTCGCTATGACCACACAAAAATTATCTATTCGGGAAGAAGAAATCTGGATAGTAGAAGATGTTTTGTTTTAGGTATGAATGACGCAAATTTCCGGATTTAGATCCACGGATGAACGAGATAATGATAAAACTGTCCATTTCTCTACAGTTTTTTCAAGATCCGGTAATTAAAGGTCTCGTACCTGAAAAAATATTACCCAGACAAACAAACGTGCTTAAAGTTTTGGAAAGATTCATAGTTTTTGGCTATAAAGTAAGAATTTTTGACGGCTGGTTTCGAACATTTCGCGTGCAACAAGGAAAAAATAGTCAGTATTATGGGTGCACAGGGCGAAAACAAGCACCTTGACCCCATCTTTTTATTACAGTTTTCCAATGCCCTATACATGGCTGACATTTGTGCCAAGTTTGAAAAAAATCATGATTGTTCATCATTTTCGTTCAAGGGAAGTTACTGCTTATTCCCAAGAGACTCGAATTGTTTGAGGTTGAATTCTAAAATATGGAAATCGGTCAATTCGTATGGAGTGGTCAAACAGAAGTTTTACCAGAAAGAGATGAGTAACTCAGCGGAATACTATTCTTAACGTTAAAGCAGAGTTGTTTTGGAAACTCTTTCGGACCTCCCACCGCGACAAAGTTTTGTGTCAGTCGTCCATCGAGTCACATTGCAAACAAGGACGTTCGCGGGTAAACTTTGGAGATGTAATGTTAAATTCGTTTCAAAGTGACGCGGCCGGTGATGCAAATAACTAGTTTGCGCTATGACAACAGCCGACGAAGAAAGTGAAGTCCAAGAAAATGTGGTAAGTACATTAAATCGAAAAATTCTGACGTGTGTAGTTTTAGTTAGCCTGCATAACAGACGCTTTATGAGCCAAGCGAGGCGAACGCGGCATTTTGCGCGAAATCCCGCGTTCGCCTCGTAAGNAAGCAGAGTTGTTTTGGAAACTCTTTCGGACCTCCCACCGCGACAAAGTTTTGTGTCAGTCGTCCATCGAGTCACATTGCAAACAAGGACGTTCGCGGGTAAACTTTGGAGATGTAATGTTAAATTCGTTTCAAAGTGACGCGGCCGGTGATGCAAATAACTAGTTTGCGCTATGACAACAGCCGACGAAGAAAGTGAAGTCCAAGAAAATGTGGTAAGTACATTAAATCGAAAAATTCTGACGTGTGTAGTTTTAGTTAGCCTGCATAACAGACGCTTTATGAGCCAAGCGAGGCGAACGCGGCATTTTGCGCGAAATCCCGCGTTCGCCTCGTAAGTTTCATTCGGATGGTTAAACATGTTGAGGGGAATATGAGCAGGGGAATGGAAAAATATATTGCATTGTTCTGTTATTGTTTCAGCCCCGCACCCCGCCTCTACAATCAAAGCCACCTCCAACTTTTCAGACAGTGAATAATACCGTGAGGGATTATGTAGCATATTCCCCTAAAAAGAACTGAGAAAACCGAGGAAAGGGAAAATAATTGCTGTAAATACGCTGTCTTTAAAATATGAATAAATAAGAAAACCAGCACGTGTTCCAGAATTTTTTACAGCCATAACATGCATCAGGGGCATCCAATAGATCTGTTTCTAAAAAAATATATGTTCTTCAGGTCAATTTTTGCTGGATGGGAGTTGAAAGAAGTGATATGTCCAAAGATGGAAAGTGTTGCTTGGAAAAATATAACTGTGGGTGTCTGTTGGGATTTGATGTGTAGAATATCTGGCACGAGTTT